TTACAATATTTCAAAACCGACTTTCTTTTAACCTCAGTATGAGCAATCAATATGTATTCTTTCTTTGATAAGTTTACACGAGGTTGGTAATCAATCTTTATTTGGCTAGCGTTTCGATCTTTGTGTTCGTCAAACCCAATGATCCGAGTCAACAGACGATCCACTATAAACAGCCAGCATCCTGTATAAAAGAACATCACGGGGAGAGTATGCCTCATTCGAGAGATGCTCCACTAGGGAAAATCCGATTCGATACGAAGACGATGCCGTCACATCGAAAAACGAACAACTGTCGACCATCGACTCGGATCATCAGCTCTAATGAAGACGAAGACGTTGGAACGTTAGTCGAATAAAGATAGTTTGTCAACATCGTGTAAGCTTATCAATGAAAGAATGCACACGATTACCGTTTAATCGATAGTGGAGAACAAAGTATTCGACATTAATTATCGACATCGACATGAATGATTATTCGCTTAGGTTTGGGCTATGCATCCGACTCCATCGTAGATATGACTGGATGCATGTTTGGTAATACAAACTGATTTTCGGAGATCTATAAATGAGCAAATCAAATTCTTTACTCTCTCATAGATGTCTGATACCGGCTTGCTGACCCCAATGAGGGGAAGGATTTGGTTTGCTAGAAGAGAGGNGATATGACTGGATGCATGTTTGGTAATACAAACTGATTTTCGGAGATCTATAAATGAGCAAATCAAATTCTTTACTCTCTCATAGATGTCTGATACCGGCTTGCTGACCCCAATGAGGTGAAGGATTTGGTTTGCTAGAAGAGAGGTGTCGAACCAACAGTGATGTGGATATTGTGAAATACCCTTAACTACTGCGCTGTACGCACACGTACAATTTAATAACAGCAAGATTTAAATGCTTTGTGAAGAACTTTGCATTCCTAACTGGTTAGCATTGTTTTCTTTTCATGTCGGTGGTGGTGAAATCAGCTTACTAACTTGAACCTCTATTGTCCGTGTTACTAATAGTAAGTTGGTTACAATGAAAAAAGCAGTAACTTTTTTGGGAAACAAATAGAAGTGGAAATTCTATTTTCTTGGGATTATATGAAATTCTATGGATGGAGTGTAAAGCTGAATCGTTGGAATGAATATGAAAAGTGGATTTTTTAATATTGGGGCACTTCGCTTTTGTTGTTTTTTGTTTTGCTCCTTTTTACATTCTGAATTCTTAAATATATCTTAATTTTAGCGCGTGTGGCGCGGCGGTCGGAGGCGCCTTGCGACATACCCATGGGATCGGTCTCAGCGCCAGCGGCCCACCAAGCCTTCCATCCTTTCGGGGTCAGCAAATTGGTACCAGACTTGTTTGGGAGGATAGCAGCACTGGGTCGATAGATCGGTAGGCCAGCGCGAGTCATTGTAATAACCTGATATGCATCTAATCGCCTCTAACGATGCTTAATGAAGTCGAATGCATGACGCATGCCTCAGGGATTAATCAACGGCGAGAGCCTTATCTTTTTCTCGTTACCTTATCTAAATATTTCGTGCTCTGTTGAAGCCTCTAGTAAAATTTTTTTGATGAGAGTAAGTTACAAGTATAACACTTGAAGACCCTATTACAGTTGCCTATGCAGGATCTCTTTTCAAACATTTTTCAGTGAGAAAGTCATCTTGTGCTTTTTTCTTACCGAAACTATTTGTCTAATCCTACGGTGTTACTCGAAACTTAGATAAATCAAAAGTCTAATGTGTGAAGGATCTGTCTGTCACCAGAATCCGAATATCAAACAGGGTAAGATTTCTGTTGAATCACCTCACACACTCATTGGAAGCTGAGAAGCGTCTTCTCTCATATGTTGATTCCTTTCGTTAGCTTAACGCGCGAAAACTAAAGAGTTTTTAAAAAGTTCTGCTGTCAGAACAGTATTTGTTCAGCACTCCTCCGTACTTTTGTTGTTAACAGTTTGTAAGATTACAGCTATTAAGTCTGGCATAAAAAATTCTGTTAAAAACGAAGTAAGTCTTGTTAGCAGAGCTGGATCATATCCTTTATGTTACCCTAAAGTGGTGTTGATCAATTTATTGCGACTTTGCAGTATATTTCTGATCGTTAATCCAAAGTCGATCAGCAATAAATCCAATAAATCAATAGACCCGAAGTTTGATTATCGATTCATTAGTTTTTTTCTCCGGTATAGTGAGTGTTCTTTTGTCGATCGATGCTGAAGGTACCATAAGCTCCAAGTGAAGAACTGAGTGTGGAAAAATGAATGGAAAAAAAATGAAAGCTCTAGGACAAAGTAAAACGATTTTGATGGACCTTTTAAAACCTTTTTCATCACCGATTATTTTTTTTACCCTGTGAATAGTTTTTTCTGGCCACCTATCTCTCACACGTCGGGCTGCTTCCCATCCATTCATTACAGCTGGGCGGTGTCAAATGCAAATGATCCTCATCGTGTCTTCCATCCATAGTTTATACATCGATCTCATTTGCATTTCGTCGTTCTTCTGCAAAAACAATTCAGCCCAACAAAGACGGTTGAAATCCGGAAGCTCATGGTGGTCCACATTATTCTACCAGTTTAACTTGTTAGAAAAATTATAAAGCTAGCAACTCGTCTTTCCTCGTTTGTTTTTTCTTTGTTAAGTTCCTGTCTTTCCCACCTTAAGTTGTTCGAGTTCGTCTCCAAACCTGAATTTTCCTTGTAAGCGACAATGTCGCTGGCTTCCTAGCCACATCGAGTATGATGTGTAGTTTTCAAGGTACCATATTTATTACAGTTTTTTTAAAGAATTACCTTACCTATGACCTTTAGTATTTTGTGAAGAAAATATATGAAAACAAGTAAAGGTAATGATTTTTGCTATGTAAATTGTGGAGAAAAGTGCCAGCATACTAATTCTAGGGATCTGTATGGATTCCTACAAGCTTAAAACTCTTTGCTTCTTTCCGATGGTCGATAATCTACCGTAAAATCACCCGCACTACAAATTCCGGTCTACTGTTTCACGAAAGCCCTGTAGCGCTTAATTTTTACTGCCTTTTCCAGAGAAGTGGTATGCTAACGTCATCGCCGATGTTGACGGCAACAATGAAACGTCGTGAATTACCGCTTAACACTCAAAGAAGCGATAAATTCGATCAAAATGTTAGTTTCGTTTCACACTCTTCTTCCTCTTCTTCGTTCTCTTTTGCCTCTTTTTTCTCTTTTTTTTTACTTTTCTCTTTTTTTCTTTCTGTTTCTCTGAAAAGGGTTTTCGAAGAAGAAGTTTCTGTGAATGAAGAATGAATGGATAAATAAGCAAATAAATGGCTAGAAAAATAATTAAGTGCACAGTTTCGGCCATGTTTTTAATTTGTCACTGCTATCAGCAATCACCGCTCTGTGCCATGAAAAAAGAACAGGCAGTACCTAAGAGTGAAGACGTTAAGTGCACACTGTATCGTTGTTGGAGAGTGTCGGTTACCTAAAAAATTTGCTCATTTTAATTCTTTAAAAAGTGGAATACAACCACAATTATGTCGAGATATAAGTAATACTTGGGAACCCTGGGTACTTTCCGTAACCCCGATTAGGCTTACGGGAACACACGTGTTATCCGTTGCTCCATCGACGCCCTCGTTTTTCCTTTCTGTCAGCCAGTTTCCTACCTTAATGACGCTATCAGCAATTACCCGTCATTAAAAAGTGTTCCGTTTCGGAAAAGTAAGATTTTCTTCTTTGAAGTTTTAATAGATAAATACCAATTAAGGGAACGCGATGTTGTGATCCCTTTCAATACACAGACCACAGAACCTACCCATGCACCGATTCGACGCTACTCAGGGCCATCTGTCCTGCAAGGAAATTGGTGCCTGACTTTTCTAGGATAAACTTACTTCTGTAATCTATACGGAAACCCTTCAGCCTTCCCGTTCCAGGACTAGAGCGAGATTTGACTCTACTACTATTCAACGACATACTTGATACTGTAATGGGCCGTCCTCACTGGTTGTGCGGGCCCCAGCATAACCTCCACTTTTTCGGAGATTTTCTGGGCAAACCATTATGGCTCCCTGGAGTCTCGAGGTCAGCCTGGCCAAAGTTTGTCCCAGGTTTTCTCCACCATTGGCAGTCGCAGCCCTTGTGGATAAGAGGAAGATTTATCACCGTGCGACTTTGATACCAGGACGGTGGTGGACCCTAGTATTGGTTTACTCTTAACTAGGCTTTCTATTGGAAACGCCGGACTCCTTCTCAGCTTGAGAGACCTTACCCGGGGATGAATCCTCCGCTGTACATCGCAGTCCGTCACCCAAGAACACCTCTCAGCCGCGATGAGGCGCTCAACCGTTGTGAGGATTCAACGACATTCTTAAACAAAACGACAATCCTGAAGCAACAAAGCAACAACTGAGCCACACACAAAAAGTTTGAAGACCCTCGTGGTTAGTTGAGACTAGGAAACGAATCGAATACGGGTATTAACTCGATACGGGAGATTCCCATAATTTGACACTTGTGAGATCGGGTCATGTAATGAGAACAAATAGCTGTCAATATCATTAGTCATCATATTCATTTAATTAAAACTTATTCGAATTGCATTAATTAGTTTTCTCAAAGTAATTTCCTTCACTTTTCCTCCTATCTTTAATCATCTCAGTGTGCTCAATAATACAATAAGACAAATTCACTGTTTTTCTTCATTAAGCAAACAAGAGGTTGATATGGTAGAATTTATTAGGACACAATAGCTGACGTATCGGCGGTTTCTCCTTCTTCAGACCCTGGAAAGGTCAATTTGACACGTGATCTACTTAGCCAGACACTTTTCATAACTCTAGCAGATAAAACTTAACACGTAAATTTGCGTTCGCGTAGTAAACAATTCGCTCAATAAGCAGCTTCTTTTAAACACCTACCGTTTTATTCTTTACAAGTGTTCCAATTTTTTGATGGGCAGCAGCCGCATAGAGTAAAACATGGGTGAGGATTGTGCCTGGGTGAGATCATTGAATCAGCCTGAGATATGGCGCAAGGTCACGCGTGATAACAGGACACTCATCCTTGCGGTTCATTCTTAGGTTTTTGGAATTAATCGAAAACGTATCAGGAGTTCTATGCGCTGATGTCTTGGAGTGCGAGGTTAGTGACTTATCTACTTCGAAATCTTCTCCGTTGCTTCTGTATCCTATGGACGCCTAGTGGAGTGTTTGGTTTCAATTCAGATTTACCGACTAGATGTTCTTTTAAGCGGGCGAAGAGCGGTCTAGTTGACGATTAATCGATGCCGAGGTTAATAGAAAGTCGGTCTTGGGAAAAACAAACAAACTTTAAAAAGCTAAGAACACTGTCTGCATAAAAGGGAACGTTTTCAGTGCTTGTTCTCTTATAAAATTCTTTCTTTCTTGCAAAATTTGAACTTTCAAAGATTTTATGATGACGTCTAGTAACAACTAGACGATGACGATAACAGCTAAGAGTGTGCTATATGCACAATCTCTATATGGAAGTAAAAATGTACAGATCGTTTTATCTTTGTTTTTCCAAGCATTGTTCTCCATAAATTCATAGCATATTTTCGCCGGATTTCAGGATATCGTTGTCGGCCCGATGGGTGACGTGCTGAGCGGTTCAGTGGAGGCGCTGATCGCTCGTCTCCTGCCAACAAACGACGACGTCACCGATTCCAACTATATTTTCAGTCTTTTATTAAATTTACGAACTGTAATGTCACCAGAAGAACTTATGCAAAAAATTGTGCAGGTTTGTCTAGAGCGTAGTAATTTAGAACTGTATGTTAACTTTTTATTTACTGGCTACTACAGTTTTTCACGGCAGGGTATTATGCGAAGTACAACCACGATGATGCTGAGATATCTGCAAATTTCTGGACTGCAGGTGCGGAGCGAAAGCGCTATTACCCTTTCCAGGAGCTAACGCGTCCACCACCACCACAATGTGCGGGTCCCTGGTTTCGTGTGCCTTTCAGCTAGTATTCTATCGATCAGTCATCAGCAATCACCCGTCAACGAGATTGATCCGAGGAGCCCATCTGGAGGAGAAAACCAGCAGAGAAACATGCGAAATGAAGGATCCGAATGGTGTGGTGGTGAACGCGTTCGTTTTCGAAAAGGGTAACAGGGCTTTCGTTCCCCACCGCAGGCACCTGCGATCCGGAGCTTTGCAAACACCTCAACATCATTGTGGTTAGAACTGTGTGGTTGCTCTGTTTTCATTGCAAACTTTAAAACATCTTTTAAACGCTTATCTTTTTTCGTTACGTTAATGTTTTTTGTTTGTTATAATATTTTTCACTATATTTTACCTGTTACATTTAATGGGCTAATCTTTTTTCTCGTGTTTTCTACTTTTATAACATATTGAAGTTATGGAAGATATTAATTATCGTCTCGTTAACTACGGAAAGGGTTAAACACAGGTTCGAAGCTTGAGGTCTCCAGTTGTGTTCATACTTCAGCATTTTTGTGGATGCATTCCACACAACATCCTACCATTAAAAAATAACAGGCAGTAGATAAATGTTAGGATAACAATTTGCAATTGTTTAAAATTGGCTAAAATATTTTCACCAAGGCTATCAACTATTCACCAAGGTCGTTGGGGTATGATTAATTCGAGACTGTGCTATATTCTTCACTAACATAACAGTATGTTGTATGCCGAGAATACTATATGAACATACCAATTTCACCTAGGATGGGTTGGAAGTAGGTGAACAAATATGACGGAAAGAGTTCAGAGTAGAAGATATTTCCGAGTATCTCCATTGCATTTCGGAATATAGCCACTTTTATGCTTGTACGTGGAACAGTGTCATTTAGTCTTATAATCGGTGAGCCTATTTGGTGAGGGCAAGTTAGAACAATTGGCGCTACGTAAATCTCTATAGGATTATCTCCACTCAAATTATCGTTAACGAGTCTGAAAAGACGAAGACCTCGAAACGTTAGCCGATTAATTTTTCGTAACAGCATCGTGTTAGATTGTAATTGGAAGGTATTAATCGATTTATTATTAAATGGTATACTGTGGAAACGTCATCGTAATGGTGGTTGCGACTGTGAGACCGCACCCAACGTTCAGAGGAGGGCTTCTAGAATTATAAATTAGCGTTAATATTTTTGGTAATGCTGGCAACAACTATTCATTCAATTTCAGTTTATGAGTTTTCGTTTTAAATTCTCTGGACGTTTTCCTAGAGCCAATCTTACAGACCTCGCAACGGTTTACCGCCTCATCGTGGCTGGGAGGTGTTCCTGAGTGGTGGACTGCCATGTACATCGAGGGAATTTATCCCCTGACAAGATCTCCCAAACTGAGAAGGAGTCCGGGGTTTCCATCATGAAACCTAGCTAAAGGTAAACGAATACAAAGACCTTCCTGGTGTGAAAACTGCATGGTGGTAAATCTCCCTCTAATCCACGAGGGCTGCCTTCGCAGGGTGCCCGTGGTGGTGAAGACCTGGGTCAGGTTTTGGCCAGGCCAACCTCGGGTTTCCAAGGAACCACAGTGGCTTAATCAGCAAATCTCCGAAAAATGGTGGTTATTATGAGACCTGCACAACCAGTGAGGATTGGCCGTTCAGGTATCAAGTATCAAGTATCAAGCAATATTATAGAAGAAATCGCTATTGATTACTTCGCAAATTGTACGCTCTTATCTGTAATTCTTTTCGAAATCGAAAGGAATCCTGCGGTTTTGTTTTCGTCATTAATTGGTGCTCAACTTTGTCGACAAACGCGGTCGATAACTACATTGGCTCACGCTGGTTAAAATGTAAACGTCTGAGTGAGTCAGTACTACTTAAAAGGATCTTCTGTTTAGTGCAGAAGGTTCGCGTTGAAGAAAATCCAATTTCACCAGTTCTCCGACTATCCCATTTTCTGAAAAATAATCCATCTCCAGTATGATAAACCGTTACTAGCTCTACCGCTATGTAGCTCCTAGCAGTTCGATAGTATCGTTATTGATTTTCTCGTTGTTCACATCAGGTCTTGAATGGAAATAGTACCTTGTCTACATTGTGTCCTTCAACTTAACAACAGGTTTTGGCCAAACTCCACTTGGTTTAGGGATTCAAAATCTGTTTCGCTTTTCGTATGAAATTCTTTATTTTCACTTTTAGCGAGAGGATACTCTTGCATATCTCGCCGTTCTTTGCAGGGACTACCTATGCTTCATTCCCGTCGGGCGTTCTTTGAAGTAGATGTGGCCCAAAACCGGTCGCATATCTACTCTAGGAATTACAGTCATTTAGTTACAACATTTTTTTTACCGCCGAATAGACGTCCAGAAAACAATCCTTGTTAGCACTAGAATCACCTACGCTTGTGCTCATATGAAAGTGATTGTGATATTAAAAATGCACATAATCCAAATCTATGGATGCCTCAACGGCAGCAGATACGGGTATTTAAGAATGTTGCAATAAACGACATCAAAATACGCTTTTTATCCTATTTAACTTTTTTTACCAATTAGGAAAAAATTTTTTGCTTCAATAGTACCACAATTTGCTTGGGAATAAATCTGCCCCTGGGCTGTCTTGTTTTTTTCACTTTATAGTGTAATTTTCTTAACTAGTGTTCTTGACTTTTTGAAACTTTCATGACAGTAATGATGCTGAGATATTTGCAAACTCCGGACCGCTGGTGTCTGCGGTGGGGCCCGAACGCGTTGTTATCCTTTTCGTGGGCTAACGCGTTCACCACCACACCACGCGAGTCCTTCATTTCACCGTTCTCCCAGCGGAGTTGTTGACCTACATGCTATCAGCACCTGTCAATGGGACGGATCTGGGGATATCGGTACTGAAACTAGCTAAGCTGAAGCTGTGGTATAATTTACAATCTCGGCACTTTTTATTTAATGTCTGAGAAAATAACACGGCCGAGAGAAATGCAAAACGAAGGAATTGCATGGTGTGTTGGTGAACGCGTTAGACCTGGCAAGGATAATAGCGCGTTTGTTCCGCACCTACAGTCTGGAGAATTACAAATATCTCGGCATCATTATGGTTATATTTCACATAATACCCTGCCATTAAAAAAGGGTAGGCAGTAAATAAAAAGTAGCGAGGTTTTATGACAGTTTTGTTGCTACTGTGTTCACAACCACACATTTAACCAATTGATTATCGAGCCTGAAGGAAAAAACCGGCTAACAATCTGCCGGAGGCTCGCTAAATGATTTTACATCAGCCACGGCTTGGTTCTTTCTCAAAACAGAATTCTCTGGAGAATTTCAATATGTGATATATTGGCGACATCTTCGTCTCAAGCTCGTCTCTGAAATCAATGACGCGACTGGCGTTTATCTTCAGCCTCAAATGGTGGTCGGCAAGTGGGGAATATGATATCCGATGTAGTGAATTGAATTCCACTAAAAGCGAGCATTTCCACTGTTCAAAACAAGAGAGTATTTCTTGGATTGCCTCTTTACTTGTTTACGTATAGTTATCGATAGATAACTATCTTCAGTTGTTGGGTTGGTCTCAGCACTTTTCCATTCATTTCGGCTTTTCACAACTATAGTCATGCAAGTAGTCGGCAAGCGAGTGCTGGTTCGTCAACGTTTTGAGGAGCTGTCATCTTATGCCTTTATTCACATTCTGAATGCTAGTCAAGTGTGTTTTTTTCTGGAAGCACAAGATAATCGGAGAAAGACATTCTCAGGTTATTACAACAGGCATTTAGGCTTTTATAGATCTGAAGCGAATTTGCTGTTTTGCTAACAGGGTTCTTCCAGAACGACAGCAATTACTTGACAACAGCGAATCCTGCGATTAGTTGACTGCTGCTGGTAAACTGTGCAAATAAAATGTTTTTGTACTGCCCACAATGTAAATTTGAATTCTAGTTGGGAAGTTTACTTACACAGTTATTCATTTTCCACATTTGCAACTGATGTCCGCGGAAGTAACCGAATTCGTGTTTGATCTCGGCTGCAACTTGCTTCTGTTTTCGACATGTTGAACGATGGCCGTCCAACGTAGACTAGGGCGTCCTTAGCTCTTCATAACAGGTATTTGTAGCCTTGTCTGCTGGGAAATAAGAAGGTATCTCTTATTTTAGAACCGTTATAATTTATACCTTCCTAGATTGCTGAAATAACACGAGTTTGATAAGGATGTTTATTCGGCTAGCGTTTCGACGTCTTCTTCTTCATCAAAGACAATGATCCGACTCGATGGTCCACAGTGTTCGTCTTCTCGATGTGGTGTCTTCGTCATCGTATCGAGTCGAATCTTCTCCAGTAGAACAGTGTTCGAATAAGGGAACCTGGCCCGGAAGCTCTCTTTTGGACCGGACGGTTGCTGATAACTAGTGTCCGCTAATAATAACTTGTTTTCCAACGTATAACGCTTATAACTTTTTTGCTTCGGTATGGAAGAATATGACAGTAAAAGGTATAGCATGAAACTTTTTCAAAATTGGGCATGGACACCGGCATTCACCACCAACTTCTTGAGCCGCCCAGAAGGCATGTCGGCTAATTTCGTCAGAAACTTTTGTAGCATTGGAGACAGTACTTCTAGCTGTTGCCTTGAAGTTCTTTCAAAATTATCGGTTTGCTATTTGTTTGTCTAATCATTTGGCTGAGAGTGAATGTTCTTGAGCAACTTGCACTACCTCAACATCGCTGGAATTGGAAAGACGACCGCTTCTACGAGTATCAGTGTCGGATCTTGCAGGCGGTAGGCTAGAAATAAATAAAGGATAAAGCTCTCGGTGTTGGTCAATCCCAGAGAGCTGTGCATTGCGCCATCATCAAACATCATTAGAGTTGAATGAATTCCTGTCTGAACTATACACTGACTTGAGGTGGCCTTGCGATGTTTTAAGCCACTGTTGCTGTCCTCCCAGGCAGGTCTGGTACGAGTTAGCACTCATGTGTATTAGAAAGGGCTTCTAGGTACTGCACTGCGCGTGCCCCTGAAGATGGTCTATCAACAAAAGTCCAATGGCATAGTTTAACGAATACAATACTAGATATAGAGTAATAGCCCGAATGTTGAAGTGTTATCCAATTTCATGATGCGGCTCCTCTACCGTTTTCTCATTTATTTTTCTCCAATTTTTTAAAAAGAAAAGCAAGACGTTTCTGCTTTAAATTTTTGTGGAGTTGTTTATAAATAAAGAATAATAAATTTTAGCAATGTATGTTTGCTCAAAACGCAAACGCTGTCAATTTCTGCCGGGAAGGACGAGATCGTATGTTTTCGCATTTGTTACGACTTTGTCGTGAATGGTGCGCCAGTATTCCGCATGATTTTCGAAGTGAACATATGCGTAGCAGGTGAACACTCTCCTTTCTCTAAAAAATCACAATCCAGATAATAAAATAATAAAACGGTAAAGCTGTCGGCGTTGATCAGTACTTGAGCGATTCGCCATGAATTCGACTTCACTATGCATCGATTGGAGGTGATTGAATGCATATCTGGCCTTTACAATAACTCGCGGTGGCCTAGCGATGTATCGAGCCAGTGCTGCTATCCTCTCACACAAGCCTAGTACCAATTTTCTAACACCGGAGGGATGTAAGGATTAGTAGATCATGGACGTGGGGATCGATCTTATGTGTGTGTTGCAGGGCGCCTCCGACCACTGCGCTACACGCCCCCCATCCAGATACATAAAGTAAATCTGCATACATATACAAGAATAAGATTTCCCACTAGTACATGGATTTTGTAAAACACAAAGTTTATCGAGTGCGAAACTTTTGCATTATTGAATAGAACTAAACGAAATACATCGGGTGTTTAAGGAATGGTCGGTTAAATGCCTAATGCAACTGAAAATGGACTTTATTTTTAGTTTAAACTTATTAGAATAAACAAATCCGATCTTACCAAAGATATTTGGTCTAGTCATAATAGATAACACTGCTCAATTCAGCAATTCAGTCTTAATCATAACCAGTAAACATGCTAAATCCAATGAATTATGACCTAGTCGCAAATATATTGCCTAATGGTATAAAACGTTTCCTAATCCAAACGATACACCGATGGCTGTGGTGCCTACAGTGTAACACATCGAGGACCCTCATAGGTTAGGTGATGGTCCCGTGAGGGGAACAATAGACCCATGTCGTCAAAAATTCGTACCATTGTTGTGGGCACGTGTAGCAAAAATTGTTGGAGAGGATGTGCAACATACATATGGGTGCAACATACATGTGGAAGTTGGTTGAACCCCTCGCTCCAAGCAAGTCAGAAACTCCATTGTCCTGGTGTTGAAAAATTTCTACCAGACTTGTATAAAATTATAAGCATGCTTACTTGATACATTATTAGTCCCGTGGAGGGCCAAATATGTATTCGGTCGCCAAACGTTTTTCTTATGTTACATGATCATATGTGGTCCTGCTCAATTCAATGCGACAGATAAACGAAACCCATGTTCTGATTCACAGCATCCATACCACCCAAGGAAGCACTTTGCCTTGGTGCCAACTGATTCAGTATTTCGGATATGAAGGATGGTAGTAGATATGCGTTATGAAGCTCGTCATGTATTTTGTTTTATGAAGAACTTTGGTTTTTTGTTTAGTTTTATAAGTTTTACTTTATAGTCTTATAAAAATGTTTCGTTTACTTTATAAAACCAAGTCTAATCGTCTCCGAGTCCCCGGATAGCTGTGCTATGGGTTTTCCACATGTTAATCCAGGAACCAACCAATTAATACCAGGATTCATCACAGTCCTGGTATCAAAGTCGCATGGTGGTGAATGTCCCTCTGATCCATAAGGGTTGCAACTGCCTGTGGTGGTGACGACCTGGAGCAGACTTTGGCTCGGTTAACCTCGGGATTCCAGGGAACCACAGTGGCTTAAATCTCCGAAAAATGGTGATTATTCTGGGGCCCGCACAACCAGTGAGAACGGTCCGTTCAAGTAAGTAATCCAGGAACCAGCTTTAATGAATTGGAGAGATCAAGCTGATCCCATACAAGACTTGCACCAATTTCCGGACCCCAGAAGGATCGGAGGCTGACTGACGCCGGAGAAGGGTCGAACCAATGCCTTGCTTGTACTGAACGACAACTCCAACATATTATTACCACCATTATTTTATAACATCATTTTACCAGCACTGTTTTTCAATCACACATTTATGTTTATTAATTATTATTACCTATAACACATTAACGTTGTTACAAAGGCTTTTTAAAAAACAACACGTTGCCTTTAGATTGAGTGAATTGCTAGGGATGTGCTCTGTTGATCGAACGTTCAAGCAAAAAGTCAGCGACTTGCAAACCAATCTTCGCTGCACCGTATGTGAATCCGTTTCGTTCAAGCAGGTCGCTTTCGAGCTATCGCTTTCTTTTTAGTTAAGCAAATTGGATCGATACAACAAGGCCGTAAGGAATCTGCAGAAGACGCTTTCCGAGAGCGCACAACGTCCTATCCAGTCTGATATTATGGTAAAAGTTGTTACGGTGACTGATTCACGTGCAAGAGAAAAGATATTCTGGATCATTTCAAAATCACTTTTACATTTTTTTTTTGTTAAAATGTACGAATGGCTAGAAAAATATTGGTAGAGTTTTTAGTCCAAAGTGCAACTTGCGAGTAATGAAAATCATCGAAAAATTACAACCACGACGATGCTGAGATATTCGCAAAACTTGGAATCAGAGCCAGATCGAACCGCGATTTCGCCTTTCGGGACTTGCGCGTTACACGCTGCGCCACAGACGCCTCTGTTCTGGGTTTCTCTCAGCTAGTTTTTTACCTAACGCTATCATCAGCAATCATCCATCAGCAGACATAGTACTAGTAGTATAGAAATAGTAGAGTAGGCAGAAAATAAAAGGTTAACGTCGAAAAATTGTTTTGCGAGTTTTGCAAACGAGCTTTTGAAGAACGTATTATACAGGAAATATAAAATTGGTTAAAATAAATATATTTAAGTCTGCAACGATGGAAGCTAAAAGATTAGAAAGGACTGAATAATCACTGGTGCACCTTGATTTATATAACCATTAAAACTGAAACTTGAACGCAGTTTAATTCACAACTAAGTGGGTGTGGTTTTGAGTTCGTTACATTTTGACGTTTAGAGCGGTCTGATTACGGTATGTACGGATCCGAAACTCGTCGCTCAACAACTCACTCATATTGAAATGGTAATTTCAAATAGATTAATGGTGCTTGTTTTTTGTTTTGTTCTTAGTTTTTTGAATTAATAATGCAATTAAAAGTGTGAAATTCCAGGAAAGATTCAGTATGGTGGGTGTTGACGAGATCCTCTTGGCACTGGCGAACAGCGACATTGCTGATCTAGGCAGAAATCGAGTACGTTGGGTATCCAAATTTGGATAAAAATTGATTAGTCTGCTTAACTTGGTATCCGACCAAGGGTTTAAAGAGTTTCGAACAGTAAGAATTCCATGAAATAACCTAACGAAAAGGAGTAATAGGAGGAAAACGTAGGATAGTGGACAAAAATGAAGAGGAAATGTGGTAGTCATTTAAAAGTTCGAAGGTAGTCTCACCCTATCAGCAAGTCGTCCGTGTGATGTTTCAGAACTGTCCCGGAAATTCTATTTCGTTCTATGTAGAATGGTTCAACCGGCTATCGTCGTTTGCCGCCACTGAGGTTCTGCGACAGCTGAGAAAGAAGCATCGAGTTGAGGTCGATTTCATACAGGCCATTCGTTTCATTGATACGAACAATGTTATAAGTAAGAAAACTATGGATCTCGCGCTTATCACGACGATTTTTATACTCTTTTGGGCTAAAATCGCGCGTGGTGTGTACAATGAAGGGATGGTAATGTGACATTAGATAATGAGATCGGTCACCAATCGCTAGTTGAGCCAAGTATTCACTCAGCTCACAAAAGTAAACCCCTACATAGCCTAGTAACTTCAGAGGTTATCAGTAAGTGTAGACTCATGTCCATGGAGCAAAAAACGTGTTTAATGGAATTCATTTGCTCGAAAATACAAAAATCTACACGAAAGGTAGAAAACATGAAAGTTGTTCAGCACCTAGCAGCACCACTCCTTTCGCCATTTTGGGACGTCGGAGCCATTGATCTAGAGTTAGTAGATCTGTGTGGGTAATTTATAGGAGAATAATCTTTAAATTGCTGTCCAGATCGTAAACTAGTCTTACCTTAGAAGACCTTGCCTGATTTATACTCTGCCACCCAAGATTTCGGTATCGACTGATGCCTGAAGGTTGCTCCATGCTATTTCTTGCCACACCATGCCACACATTCTATTAGGTGTGGCTGAATGAATGTTTGGCCAATGCAGCGACTTGCCGTGGCTTGCCGATGCGTATGAAGTGAGTGCTGCTATCATCGCAAACATGTCTGGTACAAATAGGAGAGGAAGTAATAAACAGAATAGGCCGACTCCTGCAGGAGTAGAAGACTTGATAAGGGCGAGGCACAGGATCGAACCAGCGACTTTGAGTGTATTGTTAAGGCAGTTCTGACGAGCGCGTTGCACACGCCACTGTTAAAACCTATTTAGGCAATGTGGTTAACCAGTCATTTTAACACGTCAGGTTTCATGCTGGTAATTACCAGGACTAAATTTTTTCCAGCAAGGAATACTTATACCTTCTAGAATTGCCTCGTTAACCCCTGTCTCTAGAGTGCTTAGACTTGTAGAGCAAATTCATCAACTTATTATAATTTCTTCTCAACTATATTCGTAAATTTTTAAGGTTATCGAATATTTGATCGATGTGGCGAAGGAATGCTGTGAAATCGGCAACTTCAACAGCTTGATGGCCATTGTAGCTGGGCTATCGTTGCCAGCAATCATCCGACTGAAAAAAACGGTTCGATTCGCAACCTTTTTTATTCGTATAATTTGGATGGATGGCAGGAAGAGGAGTAAAGAATAGGGCTTTAGGCTTAATACCATTTCAGAGAACTTCGAATTGCAAAGTTCAATACGTTCTTAGGTTGTTTCGCTTACGTGAGATTGTTATCTGAGTTTTATTCGGCTAAAATTTCGACATCTTCGCATTCATCACAGCCAATGGTCCCAGCCGATGCGCCACACTTGTTCGTCATCTCGTCTTCGCCTTCGTATTGTGTCGGGTTTTCTTCAGTGAGCATCGCTCGAATAAGACATACTCGCCTTGCGATGCTCTTTTATCCAGCGTGGTTGTTGTTGATACGACTATCCGTTGATAATAATTTGTTTTTCATATAGTGCAACCTGCAGCAGTGGATGTTATGTTAGCTGACATTAGTGAATGATAAAGGAAAAATGTTCAAACCTTTAAAGTTTAGCATAGACCATGAAATAGATGGCGATGTTCTAACATGGCGCAAATTTCCATGAAGGCTAGTTATCGTATAAGTTTGATACCTGGTGAAAACTTTTCTAAAAATACCAAATAGCTGATGGAGGTTGTAAGTAAATAAGTTGGTGAACGCGTGGGATGAAGTACCTCTGAACACTGGATATCCTAAGGTTTCATCATTGTTCAGGATGATTTCACTTCTATTACCTGATCTGAGTAAAAGTAAAAATAAAAAGTGAGTTAAAGGCTACCTGCGTGATTTTTTAAAAATCAATCTTTCGGTCATTCGAAGCTCTAAGGGAAAGTCTAAGGTAACGTCTCAAATATTTTTCACATCCGTTCAGTACGTTCTTGTCCTACCTTTCTTCAGTCACCGACCTTTTCAATCCATATGTTTCTATAACACTGTACTGAAGCCACCCTGTCTATTTTATTAGCCATTTTCACTTCATCTGCTATCTCAGACTCATTGACGCCCCAGATCAGAAAAACTTATACGGAAATTGAGTAACTCGGTTGACCTCTTGCCTCATCGTGAAAATATAGTTAATTTTAAAAGAAAAATACCCAGCAACACAACAGGAAACGCTGATTCTGTTTATTTCTGGCGTTGACTAGAGTAAAACGAGCGATTTCTTTGTAGTAAAGGAAAAAGAGATTGGAATGCGACAGAAGAATTGGTCACTTGTCGGTATAGAGTACGTTTGGCGATTGCCCATGAGATGCAGGGCAGATGCAACTATATTAGTGCCATTGAAGTGGGCATGGCCACATAGCGTGAGACCAGTAGCGTTTTGGAGGCGGATCGTTTAAACGTCAGTGGCACCCGTGCTAAAGAGCAGTATTTTTAAGGATCGACATTATTTCTCTTTTAATAAGACAAATTTTTACTGGTAATCTTTGAGACGATCTTTTTTCAGTGGTCAAGAGTTGAAAAATCAAAGTTGGAAATTTTGCAACATCAGCTGGATCCGAGTGGTAATTTTCTTTCGTACAGAGCCACAATGAAAGCTGCACAATGGAGAGCTGAGACGGTTGGAAGTAACCAGAAGGTATTTTTTCTTCTGGCTCACTCTCAGTTTTGAATTTAATGGATCAATAGAGTAGCTCAGATCAATAGAGGGATTGAAACAGACTATCTTAATAAGGTAGAAAAGTATGCTCTCGATAAATTCGCCACCATATTCAAATCTTTTTCTTTGTATAAGTTTTCGTACTCAGCTAGTTAGAATAGTTGAGGGTTCCAAATCAAATACCTGGATGTCCTTCATAATATTTGATTACAAAGACGAAAATTTTTTTAAAAATTATTGCTGTGAATAAAAATGTAAAGTGATAACTTTTATTTACTGCCTATCCCAATTTTCCACGGCGGAGTACTACATGTGATACAACCACAATGGTGCTGAGATGTTTGCAAAACTCCGAACCGTAGGTGTTTGCAGTTCGGAACGAACGCGATTTTCACTTTCCGGGACCTACCGCGTTCGCCACCACACCACGCGGGTCCTTCGTTTCGATTGCCTCTCAGCTAGTTTTATCGACCAGTGCTATCATCAATCTCTCGTCAATAGAATTGATCTAGGGAGCCCAAATCGGTAGCTAACCCTGTTAAGCTGAGGCTGTAGTCGGAAATGACAAGGTTTTGACATTTGTGAATTAGAACACACAAATTTACACTTTCCATGGTCACTGCTGAAAGAACAAAAGCATAAAGCTTTCGGCGTTTATCAATCCCCGAGGGAAGTGCCATACATTCGACTTCACTAAGTATCGTCTGGAGGTGATTGAATGCATATTTGGCTTTTACAATGACTCGCAGTGGCCGATCCATGTATCGAGCCAGTGCTACTATCCTCCCAGACAAGTCTGGTACCAATTTGCTGATCTCGGGGAGATGGAAGGCTTGGCGGGCCATAGGCGCGGAGATCGATTCCACGTGTGTGTTGCAGGACGCCTCCGACCACTGCGCCACACGCCCCTTACACTAGAGATGTTAATTTTCATTTTTCGTTCTAATTTTTGTGTTTAGATTTAGTTATTTGGGACACCGCGAGGCGATTTGTACACTTTGTTTTAAAATTGCTTTTTTCGATTTTTACAGAATCTTTTTCTGTAGTGGTCAATTTATTTCCTATGGAAAAAAATCAGTAATGAAAGCATCAGAAGAATTAACAAATAGTTATTTTCAATTGTTTTGAAGTTGAAATATTTCAGATTGTCATACCATTTTTCGTTCTTCTGCTGAAAGATCTTTTCTTATTGTATCACAGTAACGTTCGTACCCTGCCTAATGGACATTTGAATTATGTCGTAAGTACCGTTTTTTATTTCATTTCCTCTTTTTGCTAATGTTTCTTCGATTTAAGAGTAGTTATGAGAGAAGGTAGGCAGTCGCTGCCTTTGTGGATCAGAGGTAGATTTACCACCATGCGACTAATTTGATACCAGGATGGTAGTGGATCCAGCCATTAGGTTACTCTTAGCTAGGCTTCCTGATGGAAACGCCGGACTCCTCAGTTTTGGAGACCTTGCTGGAGGATGAATCCTCCTTGTATACACCGAAGTTCGACACCCAGAAACACCTCCCAGCCACGATGAGGCGGTAAACCGTTGACAGAAATTGGCTTTTGAAACCCCTAAATTTCTGTTTATTCCCAGGATCGGCTTTCTATTATCTGTTTATTGCAGTGAGCTGTTGTTTGATTCTGTTTTTTACTACTTAGCTAACAATATGTTCATTAGTATTTGGTTTAGTATTAAAAAATAGAATAAAAAATAGCCTGGGCCGACATTTCAAATGTAAAAAAGTCATCGAATCGACGCATTTTCATCAAGATTTTCTTGTTTAATCGTTTAAATTCCAGGCCTTCTCACAGATATCCGAACAGTTGCGATTGGTAGTGCAATGGAAATCAACGTTTTCTATATTTCCGAAAAACGCAGCCGTTCTACAGTACCTGCTAATTTCGCCACTCTATGGAGAGACCGGTACCCAGTGTTAAATAGTACATTAAAACGAAAAAATGAAACGTTCAACGTTGATCAATCCCTTAGGGATGCATTATCGATTCAACAGCACCGTAAAGGTGCTAGTAAAGGTGGATGAAGATTTCTCATCTACACGATGACATGTGGTGAGCTACCGACATATAGGTTTAGTGTGTTGAGCTACCGATGTTTGGGTTTAATGATTTTGCTCTCCCGAGAAGTTTTGTACTAACTACTCCCGACATTTTGACGTACACAGCAGCCTTTTTGATCACTGATCGTTGACGTAAGCTAAAACTTTGTATTCCTTCTCTAGCTTGAGTCGTACTATAGACATTTAGCATCATTTTTTCGATTGCTTGTCTAATAACACTGACTGATTTTTCGTCCTGGTTAAGTGGTGGTCACATTTCTGATACGTACGCTAAGGCAAGAAGGATCGTAGTCTTGGAAAGGTCAAAACGGAATAGAACGTTTTTTTCTTTTTTTGGATTCTCGGTGATCTTACGAGAAACAGGTTTTTCCTGCGCGGCTATGGAGTTAAACCGCTCGTCATTCCTTCCCTTGTCCAACTATATATAAGTGTAGCATTTGGAAACATTCAAAAGTCAGGAGAATGTAGTCCATTTATTTTATTGCGTTTATCCCTCAATACTTATATGGTTTGTCGAGCTTTCAACTTGATGGCTAAATATGCTCACGAACAGCTTGCTATTCCATCTGTGGGTAGAAATGTTGTCAATTTGTTGCAGACGGCTCTTAACCACCACCCACTTGAATGCAGACTATGACCGGGTTGGTGTGCAAGATGCAAAAGCGAGCACACGACGCATTCAGGCAAACTGGCCCAGCTTGAACACAGAATGTGTCCCTTGAATTTGTTTGCGTCTCAGGAAGCACAACATCAGTCTTTTCTCGCTACAGGGCGTTGTTGGCGCTTAAGCTTCTCTATTCTAGCCACTTATTATTTCTGTGGAAGTTTGAGGCTAGTTTTTTTTCTTTAGTTGGGCTCCAGTTAACAATGCAATTTAGACTGAGTGGAACTTTAAATTGAAAATTTAAAAAAATCATTAATGATATGCAGGCCTCCTATTTCATAGAAGAAAAGTGTCGAAAACGAAGAACTGTTTTTTTATAGTCACTGCTAGTTGTATTAATTCCACAAAGGTAACATGTAACGATCGAATCGTTCTTTCCGACACAGATGTCTCGATCCTCACCCCAGTTAACCAAGTTCTGTTTCGATCTCGGTGTTACCTAGACAAATAATTTACCTACTCGGTGAATGATAACAAAGATTTTCTAAACTACTTCTAGTACTTCCGTTTTTTGTCGAAACTTTTAGCCACCGCTCAATTCTTTCTGTTTCGATTCAGAGTTGCTCATGGCATCATACGAATGCGAAGCAGCCGAGAGTGCAGCCGAACGAGAACAGCTGAAAAAATTGAAAATTCATGCTTAAGCTCTTCTTTCCATACAATGATTCCGGAACTTCCATACTTAGCAATGAAATCTTATCACTGAACACTCTAGATCAGTTACTAAAGGAGACGAAAAAACTTCCTGTGAAGGATGTCATGAGGAATTCATCAAATCAGCAGTCCCTCCAGGGTATCCATGATTTTATTGATATATTGTTTTCTAGCTAATCATCATAAAATGTAAATCATATGTTTATTTAGCGATCACTGGCCTATTGTCTTCGATCTGTATAGCGTTTGAGCTTTACTTTTATATTTTATGGGTTTCTTTAACCTTGTCATCACTGTCATCATCATTGTTATTCCTACAACACCTGTAAGAAATTCTTGCAAGTCTGCATATATGTGACATTCGATCGATTCCGTAAGAACGTTATAAGATCCTTCTTTTCTGTACTTTATTTCCGAAAACTTGTTTGAGATACTGTTTCACCCATCTTAACTACAAATACGTTAGTGGTCTGATAACTGTAAGAATTAGTAAAATGTTAGAAACGGTTCCAAATCTGTTCAACTGTGTTTACTCGTGGGAGATGATCAAATCGCAGCATTCGTATAAACCCTTCTGTCTTATTTCATTGATAACCTAACAGGAAGCTGGCTTACATTTTATTATTTTTGTGTAAAGAGGACATACATCTAGTTTATCATCCTGTAATGAAGTGGCCAGAAATAGCACGGAGGTGGCTTGTTCGATTGTGGTTGTGTGACATGTTTGTTAAAAAGTACGCAAAACCGTCTTCTATGTGCTTTGAATATGCTTGATTATCATCACTTCACGGATTAAGCACTTGGATTGTATGAACTCTAGGTAGACCTTTTGAACCTCTTTTTGGATTTTGATGCTATCTTTCAGGTCAACGGAATTCAATGCCATTTATGCTCTCCAGTTCATTCCCGTTGGCAGATGATTGCTGATAGCAACGATTAGAAACATGGCTAAGAGAAAAGCATAGCATAGGCCTCGGTTTGTATGGCGCATAAGTATGTAAACCACTGAAAAGACTATTCGCGGGTTAGAAGGCCAACTGTCGCTCTGAGTTTTGCTCCTAACTAAGCATCCTTGTGGTCAAATTATACTGATGCTATAGTTTCGGCTTTATTTACATGATCGCTCTACTGAGTTGTTTTTATGTGTTGAGAGAAGAAACACACACTCGTGCTGGACGAAATAAATCATAAATCTAAAATTCAATCAGTGACACATCCTACTTCTGCGCACTTATCAAAACTCATAGATTGGCATCCACTGGTGAAGTTACGTTTATCGATCTATCAATGCTCATGGTTAGAGCCACCGCCAGCTGCATAGACGGACCAACGAGTAGAATAACATGGTTTCTAAGCCTAAGACTTACCCAGTTGCTTGAACATATCCCAGCCCACCTTACGAACACCAAAATGTTCTTCCTGGATAGTCTAGGTAACGCGCGTCGTAACATCGCGCACGTGATGGAGTCTTCTGAGGTTGTCGTACTTTTATACCAACATGCCGAACGACTACGCTATATCAGCCATCCTCGAACTCCTTATGCAAGACGAAGGAGGAATAAACCAGTTGATGACACTCTTAAAGGAGTGCCTAAACTGCTCAATCTTCAGATAGTCCAGGAGGTACTACGCACAAATCGAAGGAGCAGTGACAATGGAGCAGTGACTGGTACCGAGTCCTGCCCTTGAGTTCATGTCGGATGTTGAAAACATTGTACTTTTGAACGTTCGGATTAGGTCTCCGAAAGCATCTACAATCCAATGTGGTACCGATGGGCTAAGATGAGTGACAAAAACGCCCACTATTTCTGGTTTATTACCTCTTTCACCTTTCACACACTAGACACACACCAGAAGGGCATTTATATGATTCGAACAGTCGCTAATATGTGCACAGAAAGTGGACGGAACGAAGAGTTTCTGAATTTAACACTGCAATGGCTGTTTACAATGGTTACGAAAAGGTAGCACCTCCAGATTGATCTAGAATAAAAATTACGTTTTTAAGTAATAAGTTTAGCGAGAATAGGATTCCATTTATCCCAACCTTTATCTCAAAGTAAATAAGTGCGTCTCTAAAACGCTGCATAAAAAGGACCGCTTTAGAGAGTTCAGCAATGTTGTTATAACAAAGCGAAGATGGTGTAACTGCCGACCATTGATCTTCACTCCCATATTATCTCATTCCAATGTTCGCATGACGTTCTCGAGGGTGGCGGTAAACAATTTTGGAGAAACGGTGTCGCCTTGCCTAGTCCCAATTTTGACGTCAATGTTATTATCGTTGTAGATTGGTATACACTGAGTAGGGACACCCAGACTTTCAAGAGCCTCCACGACTGCTTCTAACGCAGTTGAGTCAAAGACCTTTTTTAAACCAATGAAAGTGAGATAGAGCGGTCTTTTGTACTCTGGCGATACTTCAGTGAGCTCCAGCTCTTAAGACCGACTTTCTATTAACCTCGGCATTGATTGATAACTGGCTGTTTTTCTAGTTATTGAAGATCATGGGAATTGCTGCGTGAAATACCAACCTCGTGTCTGCTCTTTGAAGAAAAACAGCGAACCTCAATGAGTCTTGTTATCGTGGGGAAGTGGTCCATCGTACCAAACCCTCTTCGAAACCCTTATTGCTCACATTGCTGTCCATAGACCAGTATTTTGTCAATCCTGTGTAGGGTGACTCGAATGAAAAGTTTCTAGGCGACAGACAGCAACGATAGTTGCCGATATCGTGGAGGCCACCCTTCTTGAACATTAGCACGGTTTCGCTGGTCTTCCACTGTCTAGGAAACTTGCATTCAGACAGGTAACTTGTGAAGAGCCGACGAGCCAGTGTTTTAACGAGGATTGGGGGAAGGCTGTTCAGGTGTTCTGGTTTTATCCTGCCCAGACTTGGTGCTCTTCGATTTTTCTCCGACGAAATAACAAGTCGGATTTCGGAAGAAGGAACCGGTTGTACGACATATCAATCCTTTTTGTCTTATATGGAAAAAAAGAGGGCGTAGCTATTAAAGATACTTGAGTAGTAGCCGTGAATGATTTTTTCCATTGCCTTTCTGGATGCTGTAACTGTTCCGTCTGGGCGTCGGAGTCCAATCATGTTGCTTTTGTAATTGGAGAGGCTTCGGTGGGCTTTGCTATTGCTTTTCCTAGCCTCTATAGCTTCGACCATTACTGCTGCTTTTTCTCTTTTAGATCTTTTATCGCCTGTTTGCATTACTTTGTAAGCTCGGACGTTTGTTAGCAGTTGTCTGCAGCTCGTGCGATTCCACGTTGGCGTCTCAGTTCGAGTGTTTCTGGAGATTAGCGTCTCTTGTTGACTTTCAAACTGAATGAAAGATTAGCTGACAGGCAGACGAAATAAAGAACCCACATGGTGTGGTCATAAACGCGTTAGCACCCGGAAAGGGTAGTATCTCGTTTCGTTTTCCACAGCAGATACCTGCAGTCCGGAATATTGCAAATATCTCAGCAACGTTGTGGTTGTTTCATGCATAACATCCTATCGTGAAAAATTGTAATAAGCAATAGTTAACGAAGCTTGCTGAATGTAAGATCACTCAACTGTTTCAGCTTAGCGTTATGAAAGTTCGAAATTCACCTTCGAAGATACCGTCCTTTATACTAACGCATTGAATGACCC